GCCGAGGCCTTCCTAAGAACATCAGAAGAGCCCTGCTGAATTAGACCAGTGAGGGTCCATCTAGTCCAGTCTCCTGTCTCACACAGTGGCCAACTAGTTCTTCTGAAGGGCCAACAAACAAGGAAGAGAGGACGAGGCCTTCATAAGAACATCAGAAGAACCCTGTTGGATCAGATCACTGGTCCATCCAGTCCAGCATCCTGTCTCACACAGTGAACAACCAGTTCCTCTGGAGGGCCGACAACAGGGCATAGAGACCAAGGCCTTCATAAGAGCATTAAAACAGCCCTGCTGGATCAGACCAGGGGTCCATCTAGTCCAGCATCCTGTCTCACACAGTGGCCAACCAGTTCCACTGGAGGGCCAACAACAGGGCAGAGAGGCTGAGGCCTTCATAAGAACATCAGGAAAGCCTTGCTGGATCAGACCACTAGTCCATCTAGTCCAGCCTCCTGTCTCACAGAGGGGCCAACTAGCTGTGGGTACATTTCTTACAGACTCAGCAATCCTGTTCCAGAGTGTGGGCGTAGCCACCAAAGAAGCCAAAGCCCCACATGGCAGCAGTTCATAGGCACTTGCACAATGAGAGGAATAGAAAAGCCTAGCTATAGGTGCTGCTGCATTGGTCCAGAGAGAGAGAGACAAGCCCTGGGCATCGAAGGTCTTCAGCAGCAACAGCCAGTATCTAGAATGCGACCCAAAGGCATATTACTTAACCAGAGCAAAATAAATCTCACAATGCCCGCAGCGCAGCAGACAGGAACTGAGCGGCTGCTTTTGGGACCACCCAGGGCTATTTTTGGGCAGGAACGCACAGGAACTGAGTTCCGGCCGGCTCCCAAGTTGGCCACGCCCAGCAGGAGCTCATTAGTATAATAGGCCACACCCAACAGCAGAAACTCATTAGGATTGGCTACATTAGGGGTGCGTGGCCTAACATGCAAAGGAGTTCCGGCTACAAAAAAAGGCCCTGGGTTTTGACAACAGACAAGGTCAACAGAATAAGAAGCAAAAGGTGGGTGTGGCTGGATGACCAGACTTCTGGTAACATGGGGGTGCGGCCTAATGTGCTAATGAGCTGTGCTGTCAGGGGTGGGGCCTAATAGGCTAATAGGTTTTTGCTGTTGGGTGTGGCCTATTAGGCTAATGAGTTCCTGCTGGGCTTTTTCTACAAAAAGAGCCCTGGACTCCGACCGCCTGAAATTTCCAGATTCGACAATGGCCGCTTCGACTCTCCGAAGCTCATGCCCCGAAAATCTCGTTGGATTCGAAGGTGCTGCTGGACTCGAACACAGCTGTCCTACCGCAGACGAACACGGATACCCTCTGAAACGAAATTTCCGAGTTGTCCCCGGGGTCGGCCTGGCAGAGCAGGCGACGACGGCCGTCCCCCGCTGCCCTTGGAGAAAGAGGTGGGAGAAACAATGTGCTCGATAGATCAAGTCTTATTTCATGCATGGCTGTCAAGCCACCAAAGTGCTTTAAAGGGGGGGGGGGCTATTTCGGCACAGAAACTATCACCTGTGCCAACTGGCCACCCCTTCTGGCAGTCACGGAGTCACTTCCCAACAATAACCATCCTTTATCTGCAGTTCTTAATAACTGACAGGTGTCAGCTTCCTCAGGCGAGGGAAA